TGTGCTGCTCCGCCTTGGTGGAGTTGGGCGGTGCCCCGGGTCCTCCCGGACTTGTCCGTGTGGCGGGGTTGGACCCCACCCCTGTATTTTTTTTTGGGGGTGCCAGGTGCGCCATCTGGTTTTTGCCGTCGTGATTTGTGCTTTCATGTACTGGTGGTGGTTGTGCTTTTGTATGCAGCGCCGCGTGTCGCGCTCTGGCTGTGGGACTCTGCCTCCCATGGGTTGGGTTGGGGTGGCCGCCGTGGGCGGGGTTTTACGCCAACATGCCCTTAGTGATGAGGGTCTGCCTTCATATGGTGTCAAGGTGGAGTGGACGAATTTATTCAAAGAAACTAAATGCACTCACTAAATTTTTGAAGGAGGTCGTCTCNGGGGTTTTGGGCCAAGATGCCCTTGGTAATGAGGGCTGCCCTCATATGGTGTCAAGGTGGAGTGGATCAATTTATTCAAGGAAACTAAATGCACTCACTAAATGTTTGAAGGAGGAGGTCTCCTTAAAAATCAAATTCTTTTTATTTTTCTTTTCAATACATGTATTCTTGGGAATGGCATTCCCTGGTGGCGCATGGCCATCGAAAGTTGGAGCCAATGCCCATTATCCCTTATTATTTTGAGGGAAGCAATGGGCAATCAAATTTTCTTCTTGAGAGTTTACGGGTTCATAAGCTACAAACGCCATGCAGCACCGGTAACAGCTAAGTCGTGCTGGGACGAAACTTTATCCAAGAAGGTTCTGGGGTGTATCAGCAGCAGTTTCTTTTACATATTTCACTTTAGTGTGAATGCTGCTAAAAAAAGGAGTGGCAGGGACCCTAGAGATAGCAACAATTATGCCCTCCAGTGGTGGAAATTGGATTTGGCCGCTGAGGGGACTCAGAGGGACGAAAAAAAAATCCATGTTCTGCCACCTACGAGATCCATTGTAATTTCATTACCAATGCGTACTCCCCATGCCCAACGGTAGTAAAAATAATAATATAAAAACAAATTGTATTTATGTATATTTATGTATTATTCTTGAGGGCCCGTTCCATTGGAGTAATGTCCATAAAGACGCGAAGAACAAAAAAAAACGTGGTGGTGTGGTGTGAGGTTCTTTTTGGGTGGGGGGACGTAAGGGAATATGTATGATCGTATCCTCCTAATGCACACCAAGGAGTAAAGGACGTATGTGTTTGAGTGGGTGTGATTTCTTTTTATTTGCTGGTGATGTTGTTGGAGAAGAAGAGGTGAACCGGCATTGTGAGGGAAAAATAAAATAATAGTAATAAGGATAAATAAAGAGGTAATATGTGTGAGAGAGAGTAATTGTGTGTTGCCTCTGTTTGTAAAGAGTGGCATGGTATTACAGTGATGTATGCAGTCATTTTTGTTATGGTTGTGGGTGAGTGGGTTTTGGATTCCAATTGTGGTGTTGGTATAAATGTTATGGTGATGCATTGGTTTCTTTTCTTTTTTTTCTGTTTGGAAGTGTGTTGATTATTGTACAGTCTCTTTGTTTTGCTGATGATTTGTGGTATTGTTTTTGTTTGTTGCCAGACGTACACACTGTGTTTTTGTGTGTATTTTGGTGTTCGAACTGCCTGGTAATGGTTTTATTATAATGAGAATACAGACACACTTTGTGTGTATGAATACCGAGTAAGATATTGGAGTGTCAGTGTAGTGACGTTTATTTAATATTGTTTTGATACCATTTGTTTTCCACTTCTTCTAAATCCAGGGTGTTGTTTCAATATCTGTGTAACTCTGGGTGTGTTTTATTGTGTGAGTGGTTTATTGTTGTTCCCCTCATTGGGTTGTGTTTGATTGCTGTTGTGATGTGTATTCTCTCTCTCTTTCTGTGTTGCTGTGTACCCACTGCCTTGTTTGTTAAATGTGCGTCTACTTTTCTCCTTTTCTTCTTCTTCCTTGTTACCACAGATCCAAGCAACCCACAGTGACAATCATGACAACGATGTTCGTCCAACTGCGTCGTGTGGTGTGCCTGTTGGTACTTCTGCACTTCTGTACTAGTGTGGCATATGCAAGTGGTGATGCAGGAACCGAAGATGTGGCACGTGCGAAAGCTGAAACCAAAATAAAGGTGGCGGTGCTAGATCCGGAAAAAGCGTGGGAGACGTATTTGGATATCCCAAATTTCACCGAGGAAGACCTTAAAGGAGACGCGTTTTTGGGGAAAGAGGAAAACAAGGAGTTGAGGAGGACAGTGTGGAATGCGTTGGTGACCGTCAAGAACTCTGAAATTCATTTTAAGAACGGAACGGCGTGTATGACCGAGTGGAAAAAGGTGGTTGAAGCAAATGAGAAGACGGTAAAGGACGCCGAGAAGGCCACCGAAAAAATAAAGGATCTTATCAAAAGAATAGAAGAGGTTGCGGAGTTTGAACCGGTGGACGGTGATGTTAATAAAAAAAAAATGAAGCTTGGGGGTAAGTGCAAGGATGCAACTCTCAAAAAGCTGCTTCAGGATATACCAGGGGTACTGAAAGACACCAGGGGCGGTGCACCAAAGGCTGAGGCGGTTTTTAAAATTGCCGAAGCGAATCAAACGGAGATCCTATGTAAGGCCACACGGTCGAACGTGGACGATGTGTTGAGGAATCTTGAACAGAAGATCGATGGCATTACTACTTTTGTGGGAGATTATGATAGGAGTGATAAAGCAATGCTGGTGAAGAGGGCGGCCGAGGGGATAAACGCCTCTTTGCGAAATGTCACGGCACTAATTGACAATGTAACAGTTCAAGACAGATTTGCAGTGGGTAAGGCCGTTGCGCAGGTAGAGATTTGGAAACAGGCGTACGCAGAGCTTGCGCAACTTGCGGATTTGGGGGGAGCAGAGCCAGGAAGCACCGATGGGTCATGTAATATTAAGGAAGGTGTGACACAGCTTGAGGAAATTCGAAGGCTTATCAACGAACCAAAAAAAGAAATGGATGACGCTATGGTAAAGGTGGGTGCAGATGGAGCAGAGGGTGCACAGAGCAAAGACACGAAGGAGAAAAAGAAGGAGTACGCCCGTCAGGTCATGAAAAATGTGACGGAGACAATCAAGGGTGTGACCATGGGTATGGAGAGGGAGAAGGAGAGGGTTGCCCAAGAAAAGGCTCGAAGGGAGGAAGAAGCAAGAATAGCTGCGGAAAAAGAAGCGGCAAGAAGAGCCAGGGAGGAGAAGAGAAGACAGGCGGCAGCTGCAGCAGCAGAGGCGCAAAGAGTAAAAAAAGAACAGGAGAGAAAGAAAAGAGAAGAAGAGGCGGAACGGACAGCTGAAAAGGCGAGACTGGCCGCGGCACAAAAGGCCAGGGAAGAAGAGGCCAGACGAGTTGCTGCAGAAAAGGCCAAGAAAGAAGCAGAAAAGGCGAAGAAGAAGAACGATGGCAGCATTCCTGCATTGCTGCACAGTTCCTTGATTCTACTTGTTCTATGTTTATTGGGTTGCACTCTCGTGTGCTAATCGGTGTTCCCATGACACAGTTGCACAGTTAACCTTTATTTGAGTGGATATGGATACATTGTAAGGGTACTGCTTTTTTTTTGGTTGGATATCAGCCCTTCTTTTTTTTTCTCTCCCAGCACGATAAGTCTCTTGTTTGCATTTTTTACTGAACACTTCTTTTGGACTCCCTATGTCACTCATCACATGACAAACCATCATTTTGTGAGGGGAGTGTCCTCTTTGTTTGTTAGCATTATTGTCTGGGCTCTGTTTTGCCGCCATTTACTGTGTCCGCCTGGTGATTTGTGTGTGTGTTCCGTGATATTAATAACTATTGCTTTTACCCATGGGAATGGAATACAAACCCAATAATATGTTTTAATTGCTGTGACTGAAATGTGAAGAATGGCAGGAGGTTCAAGACACAAACAAACACGCACACTACCAACCCTCCTTCTCTTTGTGTGTGTGTGTGTGTGGACTGTCATCATGTGTGCATCATTCCCACCGCTCGCCCTGTACGAAAGACACACACACACCTACACTGCTGGGAATTGTGTTCTTGCCTCGTTGACATGTTCACATGGTGATCACGGCTCTTTTTTTTGTTTTCATTTTATTGTTTTTCCCTTCTGTGTGTGTGTTTCATTATAATTTCATTGCACATTATGTGCATCTGTGTGTTTCTCTCCTTTGCGATTCCGATACACCTTGTGTATCTTGTGTGTTCATTTTTATGGAATGATTCTTTTTTTCAATATTTGCAAACTGCTGCACGGACATCAAGAATAAAGATATGGGCACGGTAGATTCAGTACACAATGATTTTCCGTTATTAACCTTGGGATGGATTGGACTGTGTCCAGGCATCGCAGCCACAGTAAGTGATGAATTTCTTTTTTTTCTTTCTTTTGCTCCATTACTGTGTCTGCCTCACGCAGTCACTCTTTTTTTTTGCATTTTTATTTTCGTATAAAGATTGGTGGGTTGTAGGTGTTTGAGTGTGCCCCTCTGTTGTGTGTTCCTTTGTGTGTTTGGGTTGCCACTCACACCGCCCACGTAATAAAAACACATTTCTTTGTTCTCACCTTCTCTCTCGGTATTGCCACGAACATATTTCTGCCCTTGTGGTGTGTGTTTGTTTGTTGTGTGGCTTGTTTGAGTGACTGCAGCCTGCGGGGATGGAATGAAACGGTTCCGCTTCGGCTTCACGCAATGGGTCTGTGTTTTTTTTTTTTTTTCTTTTTTGGGGATTGAGTTGATGTGCTGGTGTGGGTGATTGTTTTTCTCTGATGGGAGTGTCAGCTGTGATTATTGTGTTGTGAGTGCCTTGTGTGTTGTTGGTATCCTGATGTTGTTGTTCTTTTCTTGTGTTTTACTATTCTTCTCAGTAGGTGTGTGACTTAGTGTGTATTTTAGGGAATACCGCAGTGCCTCTCTGACATGAGCATGTGAGAGTGTCATTGTGTGTGTGTGCACTGTGAGTGGGAGGGACACTTTGTGTTGCTGGACCACTCCACTGCGGCGTCTGTGGGGTGTAATGAATGACGGCGTGGTGATGTCCATCAACATGTGTGTGAGCGACTGGAGTGGCGGTGTGGTTACTTTACGCTAGTCCATTGTCCTGCGGTGCGATTGGGTTCGCACATGAATGGAGTAATGAGATTCCCTCTGTCCCGGGTTACTATCTAGCGAAACAACAGTCAAGGGAACGGACTTGAGGGGGCTAAGCGGGGAAAGGGAAGACCCGGTTGAGTTTGACTCCAGTCTGGCTCTGGACTGGCTGGTCGGTGGCGTGTACTTGGTACTGTCATCACTTTATAATTTGGTTCACATAATTTATATATGTGTACTGGTGTGAGATTGTGAAGGGATC